TATGTCTTCACATGATAATTGATACGCCTGGTAAAACTCGATACCTCCCAAAATGGATAATGCAATCTCTGCAACGTGGGAGAGTCAAGATGTGAGTGTTTCATTGGCAACAACCGCCAAGGCCAGTCCGATGACGATGTCGCGCCGCCACATGGGCATGTGTCACCCATGTCGGCGAGATCGCGATAGGGGGTCGACGTAAAAATCTCAAAGCGCCACGACGACACCATACAAAATACGAGTCTCTGCATGGCCGTCGTCCGCCAGCCCACCCAAACTTCGACTCCGACCACCTCTGGCCTGCGAACTCTTCCGCAGAGCCCCATCTGACAAAACATGGGAAGGTTGGGGTTGGTCACATTTACTTTGGCCATCCAAGTCCGAATCATGGTTTCCTACGTGACCAAACTCGCCGTCGCGTCGGCCGTCGTGGCGGCAGTCGCCCAAGCGCAAGCCGCCGACAACTGCGGTGGCGTCGCCGAACGTCCTCCCACGGCCGAACTTCAAATCATCTCGTACAACGACGTGTACGAGATGAAGCCGTACGATGACGGCAACGGAATCCTCGTCGGTGGGCCCTCGCACGTCGTGCCCCTGGCCAAGACGCTCCGCAAGAACTACGAGAACAACCTGGTTTTGTTCGCTGGGGACACCATGAGCCCGTCGTTGTGGTCGGCCTACTTTAAGGGCATGCACATGATCGACGCACACAACGCAATCGGTGTCGACTATGCCTGCCTCGGCAACCATGAGTTTGACTTTGGCATCGACGGGTTCCTCAACGTGAGCGCCAAGTCGACGTTCCCCTGGCTGAACGCAAACACGTACGAGCTGAGCTCGAAGAAGCTCCTGCGCGGAACGATCCCGAACGCGGTCAAGTCGTTCAAGTCGGCCACGATGGGGGAGTTCAAGGTCGGCTTCTTCGGCGTCATGTACGACATGCAGGACGACTCGAAGGGCTTATACTGGACGGACCCGATCGTGGCTGCCAAGGAGCAAGTGGCGTACCTCCGCAACACGGAAAAGGTCGACTTTGTGATTGCGCTTACGCACCAGTTCCTCGACGACGACAACAAGTTCTCGCAGGAAGTCCAGGGGGTGAACATGATCTACGGCGACCATGACCACTCGGCCATGTACCAAACGCAGTTCGGGACGCCGTACCTCAAGTC